ATTCTTTTACTGAATAGGAGCACGTGTAAGTTTTCTGATTCCACTAACGGATACTTCTAAGCGTATTTTCCTATATCTAGAAGTATAAAATTCTCAATCCTGAACAAAATGATGTTTGAGAAAAAAATTCGAGTGACTTTGAAAAATTAATTCCATTCGAAATCTTTGTTACTGATCTCCACGACTTGAGATTGGGATAAATATTAGTTCATCGTGAAACCAACCCTTTACTCAAGCGATTGACATATAATTCAGAAAGTTTAACGTGAAATGGATCCACGACAATTTAAGAAAGCCAGCCTTGTATCATTGTCTTTCTTCAATAAGAACGGGTAGGGTGTGGGTATGACTGTAGATGGGGGTGAACGGAGCGAGGGGGGGGGGGGGGGGTGGAATTTGAGTATTCTCTTCATTTACACCCACACCCTGATCTGATCACAGACATTACACCCACATGATTGTACACAATAATAACTTCGTTTGATTCCGATTATAGCTCGCAAAACAAGGAAAACCCGAAGGTCAATATGCCTCTATAGCTCACCATATTTGAATAAACAGAAGAGCGCCAGTCTCGTAAACTGGAGGTCCGTAGTTCGATCCTGCGTGGAGGCTGGTAATTTTTATGTCACTTTTTTTTCTTTTCAACATTATTCAAATTGTTCATTTTTTCATTTTTAAAGAAAATTTTCGTTTAGGATTAGTTAATTCAATGGAAGACAGGAATGAGACTGCATTTCATCGAAAAGAATACTAACGTTAGTATCATTTAATTGTTGACGTAGAAGACTTGGACTAGTTAAAGCCTTCTCAAGTGCTTGAAAAAATAAATTAATTGATAGTAATTGAGTATCTGGTGGTTGCTCTTTCTACGCGTTAAACAAAAATAGTGTCCTATGAACGACTTTATTCACTTGTTCATATTTAAACTTGACAGCGAAGATATCGTATTACAAATTCCAAATAAGTATTTACTGAAGAAAATATGCTACGAAGAGTCACATTTTTAAAAATTTTTACAGCGATCACTTTTAACAAAGTAGATTTTATTACAAAAACCGTGAAGCCGTAAATGAAGACACACATGACATTCACATTCCTAACCCTTTGTATAAATCGCAGAATTGACTGAGCATTCGTACTATGGATGAAGCAAGTGGTACATGAGTATCTCTGTTTGTTTAAGTCACAGTTGTTACCAGACTCGACCAGTTGATATGGTAAGATTAACCAGTTTCGTTTGGTTGAAAAATATTTTATAGATATGTCATTTTTCTCTAACTAAAACGTCTTTGGAGTAATCTCTGATGCTCTTTCAAAATAATCAACTACTCTTATTTCAAAAACTACATATTGTTTTCTTCCGTCCATGCGCACTGCTTCATTTCTTTACTAGAACTATACTTCATTTTAAAAAAAAATAGAATTGCCATTGGGATAATTGAGGTAAACTAATCTTATACTTGTTTTGTTGAAGAGAAAACTTAGGCTCAGATCGTCGTTCAATCCGAAACGTTAGATTTGCGCTATATATAGATATTCCGGCAAAAAGAAAAATAGATGTTTTTGAAGGTATCCCCATTAAGAGTATGAATATAGATAAGAAAGGGTAAAAACAACATACATACATCTACGTTGTGAACAAATGGAAAAATCGAAATAAATTAATGATGCAGATTCTGTTGCTGGGTAACTGGTAAAGTAGCTGTCTGTATAACGTTAACTTTTCTTCCCTAGCCAATTCTGATTCCAATGAATACCAGACTGATTAGACATCAATTCCAATCAACTCCAACTTCAATAGTAACCAATTCTGACCAATTCTAAATTCAATCGATTCCGGTGAATTCTAAAAAACTCGAATTGATGCATCACTAGATGTTATTATGAATTTCTTTACCATGATTAAGATGATGATATTTATTGTATAATACACATGTTACTTTCTTTTTCTAATACAGTTTGTGGCTTAAACTTTATTAGTTGCTTATGATAAATATCCTATTAGATGTAGCGCTTTTCATAGTTTCTCACAATATATAGTTGTGTAATACATATCTAACACTCAGCGTTTTTGAGTGCTACACTTTGGCCTCTCACGAAACATACTGGCAAGATTTTTGTTTGGAAAAATCACTTTTTTAATAAAATATTCGTTGTACTATGTTGTGTTATCAAACAATTTTTAAAATTAATAGCACAATCAAACGGTCACTATCGGTTCGATGGTGTAGCGGTTATCACGTCTGCTTTACACGCAGAAGGTCGCGAGTTCAAACCTCGCTCGAACCTATTTTTTAATAACTTTTTATGCATATTTTCATGATGACATTTCCTTTTTACATTATGTTAATAGTGTATATTGTATGTAGATGGATAGAGTTTTCATAAGGCAATCTCGAAGAATCAAAAGAATAGCTTGAGATACGGAGAAAGATAGGCGGTGTGTGTTATCGCAAAATATACATTACATGTCCTCCGAAGCAATTTTTCTATTCAATGTCGTAAAAGTAAGACACTCTATTTTATAATTATTCACTTAAATCTTATTCCGAACGCGGATTTTTCTATTACATTACTTCAGATCTCAGAGATGTATCAGATTTCTGCGTGCTAGAAAGTTTTAAATGGGTTTTAAAACTAAAGTAAAACTCATCTTGACAAATAAAAAGACTCATATGTTGTTTTGTTTTCAAAATAATTATTTATCTTCGATACATACTGTTTGGAAAAAATCTCTCATCATTAACATAAGTGAAGATGTTTGTCAAAAAAAAGAATATCGTCATATAAAGCTCTAACAAAAAGTCTTGTCAATATTTTAAAACTAATTCGAACTCGGCATAATTAGATTTCAGAAAGAAACTTTAATCACTCAAATACGCTCTTTCTTGTCTTTATTTTAAATGAAGGTAAATTTGTGATAATTATCAATTTTTTACTCGAATTTTTACTGTAAATTATTAAGAACCCAATATAAATTTCTTAAAACAAAAGTCGTGGTTCTTAGGTGAAAAAGATATCTAATAAAGAACCATTGCAAGAAGAAAATAAAAGTAAATCATTCAATTCAACACATGGCTACAATGCTAGATATCTCATTTTCATCGTTTTGAAAATCATCAAAGAAAACAAAAGCAAGGAATACTTATCAAAGAAGAACTAAACATGCAAAAATGGTTAAAGAAAGTACGTTTTGAAAAGTAACATAAGGGATAATATTTGTAATCAAATATTCGCTTACCTATTTGCAGTAAAAATGTGTCAATAGTTTTTTTTTATTTTTATTATTTATCACACAAGCAAACATGCGATTTATGAAGGAATAAGGAACACAACATAAAACATTTTTTTTATTACACCCTTTGTGCATATCAACCTCATGTTTTCATTGCTTTTTGGTAGAAGCCTCACTACTCTGTGATATAAGGATAGATAAAACTGCAGTAAACCTGTCAATATATTTTTTTATTATATATAAGAGTAAAATACTTCTTTTTGAAGCAGTGTAGTAAAGAGATTTTCTTCTTATTTAGTTTTGACAAAACTTTATCAAGTGGAGTGTTATTAAAATCTCGAAAAGAATGGTAATTTAGAAACTTCTTCGTCTTCATACAGTGTGGATGTGAGGAGAGGGGGAGAAGGTATATACCCACACACATGCTTGACGTGTTTGAATTTGTTGGTCCAATTAAATCTTTCCATTTTTGTATTGTATTTTCTTTTGCCAAGACCATAGCAAGAATAGGAGCACTTGTCATAAAGGCAACAAGGCTTGGAAAAAAAAATTTTTTGCATTGTTCAGCTGTTTATGTTACACGTCTTTTCTAATTAAAATTAAGACAATCAAAAACCAAAACGAAAAGAAAATCCAAACAGACTGGTAGAACGGTAAAACCATGTTTAAGAATAATAGTTTCAATCTCATCAGCTTTATTAACAGCATCAAGTTTCACTAGGGCAACTGTTCATTGAACGAATATTTCATGGTCAGAAATATCTATTTGGAAATTCTAGTCACTTGTTCATATATGCTCAGTTAGGTTCACAAGATTTTCAATGACAATTAAAAAAACAAAATGTATCAAAATTAAGTGTTCAACAGTCTAAAAAAACAGAGATTAAATTTTCCATTTTTTTCTCCAAAGAGAAAATGCAAAATGGTACTTAACAAATCAAAGTATACATCAATTTTGATTATCGAACGCTTTTATAAAAAATAATCGGACAAGAAAATAAAAACAAGTTGAAATAACAAACATACTTTTTTTTACAGATTCAATTCAGATGATAGTGATACTCATGCTGCAATTGTCTTCGATTTAGGAAGTGACACGAAAATTTCGTCAGGAACTGGTAAGTTCTACATTGCGTTTTCCTAAGCAATATATCATGTAGCATGTACATTAGAAGTAACCTAAGTCAAGACATATGAGTCGGTTCTGGTAGAAAAACTCTGGAAATCGATTTAATTTCTATACAATATGCCGAACTCGAATGTTTATGAACTTTTCCGACCAACTGCTTGTTCTTTTTAAAAGACAATAGTCACGAATCAAGGGACAAATCGGTCGACATTCTGACCGAAAAACTATGTTCAATTTCTTCCAAGTACTGCGATTTTCTTGCATCTTTTCAACAAAATTCACGTGTCTCCAGAATTGGAAATCACCGACCTGAGAATAGATATTCAGTACAGTTTTGCTTCAGCTTGCGATAAACCAGCTATATTGAAAACATGCCACTTGAATTATCAATTTTTTTTTACTCTTGTAATCAAATACACTTACAATGAAAATAAAATAAGTTTATAGAAAATTTTAAAATATTTTATTTTTATTATTTACTAAAATTGTTGTCATAGTTTAATTTCTCAATAAACTTTTGAGAATTATTATGTTATATACTTATGTATAATGATTGGTTAAATAAGAAAGCCAATTGTATACTTATCTTTTCTCTTTCTTCCTATCTATTCTCTTCTATTTAAATCATAAACAATGGCTGCAGCGACTGAAGATATCAAAGACAATATAGTAATTCTAGGCGCTACAGGGCCTAGCGGTTTACAGCTTGTTCAACAGGCGTTAGCACAAGGTTATCAAGTAACAGCACTTGTACGAAATCCAAAAAAATTGGAACATATCGAAAGTAAAAACCTTCAGGTATATTGTTTTCAATTCTCTGTAGTTTAGTGACTCCTAGCACACACAATGAATACGCTTATCGCAGCAGTCAGTGTGAGATGTCACTAAACTGCAATAGTAGTTTATTTTCAAATGTATCAATAATTAGTATTATATTTCAGGTAGTACAATGTGATATAATGAATCCAACGGAGTTAGCTAAACATATGATAGGTCACACAGCTGTTTTATCAGCTCTGGGTTATCCTGGTCTTTCAATATGGTCAATAACATTTTATGAAGATTCAATTAGATCAATAGTGTCAGCTATGCGTACTGCAAATATTAAGCGATTTATAGGTATGACTTCAATGTATTCAAAATGTAAGTACGCAAACAAAACAAATGTATATTTACATAGTTTTCATATAAATGATTGATATAGATCAATCAGATTATCCGTTTATGGTTCGATATCTGATCCGTCCAATGTTAAGCCGTACTCTTGATTCAATGTTTAACATGGAACAATATCTTGAAAAAGAGTGTCAAGATTTAGAATATACAATTGTTCGTCCACCTGGTTTAACTAATAATTCTATTATTGGTAAGTTTAAATGAAATTGATTCGTACGCTTTATTTTATGTTTTTAGAACAAGACGTTAAAGTATGTGAAAATGATTATCATTTTCCTGATCAATCCATATTAATGAGTATACCACGAGCAAATGTAGCTCGCTTTATGCTAGATATATTAAAAGATGAAAAGTATATTCGTCAAGGTGTTGCTATTGGTATGCCAAAACATACTCTATAAATCCAGCTAGAAAAAGACAACTTCCTTATAATAATAAATTCTAACGATGTTCGTTCTTTGCTAGTGAACAAATGCGACTTTTTTATTTTGAATTTTTAGATTAATTATTTTTAAAATAATGGCTACTGCTCAACGGGTATATGCATTGATTTTTCATTTTGATCTATATTCTTAATAATATGTTCATTTTTTCCGATATGATTATTGAACTAACGATTATTCATAGGATACAAGTTCAACAAGGATGTGGATGAGCGGGCGCGGGTATGAGTGTGGGAGTGTAAGTGTCGATGTGGGTGTAGTTGCGAATGTGAACGAAGAGAAGACACTCAGACCAACATTCTCACTCACAACCAACTTCAGATTCGCATTCTTCGACCAGAATTGTCTTTGATTAAGCTTTATAAAAAATCGTTATCTTTCTCAAAACAAAAACCCTTTCTTTAGAGAAAAAGTTAGGGATAGAAGAGTACCAATACCATTAATACCAATGACATTCAATATCGATACATTACTACTGTATTGGTATTGTAACATGTCTAAGTTTAAGTTTTTCCAAGATTTCGAAGGATTTCATAAGATTTTATGAGATTTTAAAGATTCTGGATGCCAAAATCTCTTTCTTCTCTCGTGCACATTGCATACTCAAAATGTAAACTTATTTGTTTTTTGCGTCAATAGATGGCTCTCATTAACGCTAAATTTATAACTATGATTCATTATTATGTTTTGTCCTCTTCGACATCTCGTCGATATGTATCTTGACTATGGTCGACCTGTTTCATATTTTATGATCGTTGTTGTTGTTTTTATTTATTTTTATTATTATTATCATTGTTTTGTTATTTGTTTATAAATAAAACTAACTTATCTATTATATTCAGTGAATATTAATTCAAGAATCATGTTATCCAAGTCGGGATAGACAGTTTACTGTAAACTCCTAGTTTCTTAAAGCAGACCTTATTCTCAAACTAAGTTTTACTTAGTCTACATAAATTACGCAGTATAAAGATATGAGAAAAACTTTTTCGAAAGTCTCACAAATTTTTCACTTAGATAGATTGACAAGTGCATATTCATTCTAGAATGAATTATTGATATTTATCATGGATTCAGTATTCTTTTTATCTTTCTTATTTGTAATATATTTTGATAATATTCAAGATTATGTTGAAGAAAGTGCTGATTATTCAGCATTCATTAGGTGTTTGTTCTCCTTATATAACGCAATTCTTCTCTGAACATAATATTCCATTCGAAATTCTTCCTATTTTTGATTCTGCTTATCACTCGCAATTACCAGATAATAATACAAATGATTATTCCGTGATTGTTATTCTTGGTGGACCACAAAGTGCATATGAACATGATATTTATCCATATTT